ACAGAGGAATGGATAAAGAAGAGGTGGTATATATACACAATGGAATACTATGCAGCCATCAAAAGAAATGAAATCTTGCCATTTGCGACGACGTGGATGGAACTAGAGGGTATCATGCTTAGCGAAATAAGTCAATCGGAGAAAGACAACTATCATATGATCTCCCTGATATGAGGGAGAGGAGATGCAACATGGGGGGTTAAGGGGGTAGGAGAAGATTAAATGAAACAAGATGGGATTGGGAGGGAGACAAACCATAAGTGACTCTTAATCTCACAAAACAAACTGAGGGTTGATGGGGGGAGGGGGGTTGGGAGGGGGGTGGGATTATGGACATTGGGGAGGGTATGTGCTATGGTGAGTGCTGTGAAGTGTGTAAACCTGGCGATTCACAGACCTGTACCCCTGGGGATAAAAATATATGTTTATAGGAAATAAAATTTTTAAAAAAATCTAAATTAAAAAAAAAGAAAAAAAAAAGAATTAAGGAAGGCTTAAAAAAAAATTCCAACTCTTCAAATGAGAAGACAGATCTGTAGGTCAATGTTTTCTAAACCATAGGTCACTTGCTTTTCGGTCACAAAATCAGTTGATGGGTCATGAAAAATTTAATGGAAAAAAAGAGAAAAAAAAAACCATAAAAACAGTAAGAGTGCATCTAAAGCAGCAAACTGAGTTTCAGTAGGTATTACGTGCAATATAAAATGTTTTCTTGTGTTTTCTGTGTTTTGATCAAAATCATTTGAATCTGGGACTTCTTATGCTAGATGATATAAGCCAGATACACAAAGGCAAATACTGTATGATCTCACTTTTATGTAAAATCTGAAAAAAGGAAAATTCATAGAACCAAAGAGTAGAATGATCGTTGCCAAAGGCTGGAGGGTGGGAGAAATGGGAAAATGTTGGTCAAAAGGTACAAACTTTCAGTTACAAGAGGAAAAAGTTCCAGGGAATCTAATGTATAGCAATGGTAATTATACTTAATAATACTGCACTGTAGGGGCACCTGGGTGGCTCAGTGGATTAAAGCCTCTGCCTTTGGCTCAGGTCATGATCCCAGTGTTCTGGGGTTGAGCCCCACATCGGGCTCTCTGGCAGTGAGCCTTCTCCCCCTGCCGCTTTGCCTGCCTCTCTGCCTGCTTGTGATCTCTGTCAAATAAATAAATAAAATCTTTATTAATAATAATAATAATACTGCACTGTATACTTGAAATTTGCTAAGAGAATAGGTCTTAAGTGTTCTCACTGTGCATGTGCACACAAACACACACATATACACAAAAGGTGTTAATTAACTTGACTGTGGTAATTATTTCACAATGTATTATCATACAACTTAAAAAAATCACATTGTACAATCTGTACAACATGTAAATATATATAATTTGAATTTGTTAATCCTACCCCAAAAAAGCTGGAGAAACAAATTTTAAAAACCCCAAATAAGGGGCGCCTGGGTGGCTCAGTGGGTTAAGCCGCTGCCTTCGGCTCAGGTCATGATCTCAGGGTCCTGAGATCGAGCCCCGCATCGGGCTCTCTGCTCAGCAGGGAGCCTGCTTCCTCCTCTCTCTCTGCCTGCCTCTCTGCCTGCTTGTGATCTCTCTCTGTCAAATAAATAAATAAAATCTTTAAAAAAAAAAAAAACCAAATAATTTTTTTTAAGATTTTATTTATTTATTTATTTATTTATTTGATAGACGGAGATCACAAGTAGGCAGAGAGGCAGGCAGAGAAAGAGAAGAGGAAGCAGGCTCCCTGCTGAGCAGAGAGCCCGATGTGGGGCTCGATCCCAGGAACCTGGGATCATGACCTGAGCCGAAGGCAGAGGCTTAACCCACTGAGCCACCCAGGCACCCCAACCCCAAATAATTTTTAAAACACAGTTCTAGGGCGCCTTCTCCAGGGTTCTGATCTGAATGTTAAACAGTATGTTGAACGAACATGTTATCCATCCGACCCTTTTAGCACTTTTCTTCCCCTTTACTACTTACTTAAAGCCAAAGGAAAAGCATAAATCTAAGTATCATTCTAAATAGAAATAAATATAATGGGATGTTTTATAAAAGTTGATTATTGTGACTTGGAAAATATTTTCACAGAAAGATAACCCACTCTGCAAGGTCAAGGTTACTCAGAGTTTGACTGAATTTTACAAGCTGAGTCTACTGTCAAAATTAAAGAGACCTGAAATCAATCACAACATAGAGGGGAAAAATACAAGGAGGGTGAAAAATATATTGAATTCTAACTTATAGGCTTTAGTTTGACTTTATCATCAAAGAACAATGTTGTCCAAGACAGAATAAAAAGCCTTTTGAACCACTTAAATTAGCTTCATCTCGAACCACAGAACTTACTCACTAAACATAAAACTAAGTTACAAGTACATACTGACAGGCACTACCTGAGTGTCTCTATAACGACTTCTCGATACACTACTGAACAGTGTTTACGTGTACATGTGTGCATTGCACACGGAAATGCTAGCATTGGCTGCTTTCCTCTTCTAAATTTTGTGTATCTTCTACATTTTTACAACCAAGCTATTTTAAAAATAAAGTAAAAAGGGACTGACAGACTTCAGTGTTTATGCTGCTGCTAAGAATAAGGTAGACATAATACAGAACTATTTCCCTTTGTTAAAGCAAACATTAGTGCCCTCAGTTAACTTAGCTTTCTAAATTATTTTCTCAGTATTGCTACTTACACTAAGTTACTCATATATTTAATTGAATTTGGTAAAGTACCTTTAAATACAGATGAAAACTGCCTTCTATGGACTCCATTTGTATTTACAGGATGGATGAATGAATGTAGTCATATATCGGATTCCTTTGTTCTTTCTTTCCTTTATTTTTTAATAAACACAGTATAAATGAATATAAGATATAACTTTTAAAAATGTATGTGCATCTATATTTACTTATAAATCTTTCTGGCACTTGAGCAATGATAACTGTTAAGATCATGGTTTCCACTCTGTGTATAGGAAAAATAAATATTTGGAACAGTAAGGTATTTTCATTAAAATATGTAAAACCAAGGTTACCGACATGTTGAGATTTCCTATCAGTTTCCCTTAATTTGCACAGATTCTTAGCTAAATTAACAAAAATTTCTCAAGTCCAATTTTCTCATACTTAAGCAAATCTGTTAAGGAAAATTAGTAATTGCATATTAGATTCCTTTCTTCTTTCTTCCTTTTAGTTTTTCATAAACATAGTTTAAATTAGATGAAAGTATCTTAGAGTCTTAAATTAAACCAGATTAAATTAGGAAATGTTTATTGATCTCAATATTTATGGTCCTATTATTTCCGTTATAATGGTTCCTGTTACATGGAAAACCACCAGGAATTTGGGTTTGTTCAGAGAATGTCAAGAGGGAGGGAGGCTTTCATACTTATATTTTTATGTTTTTAGTCATCAGAAAAGAATCATTAATCATAATAAAATCTAATGGGATGTTTTTCAACTGTGGTAAATATTTGTATGTGTATTTGTTTTATGTGTTTTTCTGGTCTCTCCAGATATTTTCTATTTGCTCTAAATCTCCCCAGGTGAGTTTATACTGGGAAGCAGTGATAAAATATGGTTGATCAATCATTTTGACTCCAAACATTCAGGGGAAAGCAAAACTAACAAAGCAAAAACAGAAAAAGCAAATCTCTAGGTACACAATGGCTTTTGAGTTCAATAATTCAGACACACCTCTAATATCATGGTCCCTATATCTTCCTTGAATCCTTCTCAGTAATAGTCTATACAACCATGCCCTAAAGAAACACAAAGCCTATTTCATGCAAGGACGCATATCCTTCAGCAGGAAATATTCTGTTAGTGAACACCAGTTTAAAGGGCCACAATGTTAACTCCACAAACCTTCCCAGAGCACCTCTACTATACCAGGTGCTCTTCCATATGCAAGAACAGAAGAACAGGCAGAGCCTATCCCCTCAAAGAGCTGACAGCCTACAGGGAAATGACATGGACACAGACAGTGTAACGTGCTAGAAACCTTATCGAGTTTCTAATGGTGACCCAAGGGAACATGGAATATTTCGACATCAGAGTGAGCAGCCATGCAATTGAGAATTTTTTTATTATGAACTTCCTCTCTCAGTATTTGGTACATTTGCACAAGCTGCTCAGTTAATGTTAATTTTCTCTATCTTCTAAGTAGTTCTTCACAAAATAAAAACATCTACTGCAAGGAACATCTAAAGACATTTGATGAAAACTTTTAGTCTTTAAGAGTCCCCTGTCATGACTACTTTTTGTCTGTAACATCTCACTTTGCTATCTCAGCTTTCTTTGTATCATATTAATCAAAGAATATCCCAAAGTTGCTACATTTGTTCAATTAACAATATTACCCAAGCCTCAGTTTATTAGACCACTGTGAAGTCAATTTTAAAAATTACCCTGTCAAACCAAGACAGTCAGTCTTCCCTCAGTAGATACATATATCTTTTCATTCCTCTTTGTACTTGCCTCTTGTTGTTGTTTTTCCCAAAAATCTACATAAATTTAGAAATCACTTTGAGGTTTTGATTCAAGCAGTTGCATATATCTTTAAAGTCATAATTAAATTAATTTATACTTGCTACTAATAGTAAAAGGTATTTGAATGTCCATAAAGTCAAACAGTACCAGGCACTCTTATGTCCGTAAAATAGACATTCTTTGTAAACATAAAATACTCACCTAGAGTAATGTCCATGGCCCTATTAATGTGAACTAGCATGTATCAGTAAGAGAAGATCTTGGTGCTCTGAGACAGTCTCAACCAACTTTCTTCCTCGCCCACCCCTCACCCTCTGAGCCAGTTTTCAAGATTCTCTTATTCAATCAATACTCCGGGCAGGCAAGTAAGAATCTCACCGAGTCTGAACCCAAACAACCTCAAGCACGCAACACCAACAAAACAAAAGCAATGTTAGCTGTGGAAATCCTAACAGCAGTTTCAGAAGCAAACAGCAAACCGACTGCACTAACCTGAGGAGATATCTATTTGGCTCATCTTCGTCTGCGTGACATTGATGTGAACACCAACTTTGCTTTCCGTGAGGTCAATCTCCACATTGCCCAAATTATCTGCAAACTGACTGAAAAGCAGGAGACCATTTGGGTTCCAAGTCCTGAACTGGAAACTGACTGAAAACAGGTCCTGGTTAGGCCGTCCTGGCACCTCCAGGTAACTGGTAGCATTGAAAAAGACAGGCACTGTGTAGGGCTCCACACACGAGAAACTCAAATTTCCCTGGAAAACAAAAGAGCGTGCTTTGAGACAAATGCAAACAAAGCTAAAGGCTATGGATGTCAGTGCAGAGCCTGAGCTCGTGCCAAACTCGCAAAAGCAGCACCATGATTTAGGTTCGACACCCAGATAGGCTGGCATCACTCTTCTTGCACGGTGTGTCTAACAGGGCTCAGCAGCTGGCTGTCAAGATGAGGAATTAACAAGAACCATCTACCATGGAATCAACAGACTGACAGCCTGATGGGATCGGATGTGTCCCTGTGTGGTGGGCGTGTGAGTGTGAACCTCTGGACTTTCTAAAGAGGGCAGAAAGCTGACAATGCCTCAGCCAAGAAGGAGATGCCACCATCGTCTTCTGGATGGCCTATGTTCAGTGTTTATTCATATTATTACTAGTCTCACGAGGAACTACGGTCATTTGGTTGTTATTTATTCATTGATAATATGGGATAAATATTCTTGGTTTTTATCCCCATACCTAATATATATGAATTAATATTAACTGGGTAGCATCAGCATAATTGTGATTATTTCAGATTATTGTTATATTAAATTCCCCTGAAGTGTGCATACATTATAATGAATTCATGCCTCTGAAAATAGTAGTATGAATGTACAAAATGAAAACAAACTTGTGATAACTGAAGCCTATTCCTTTCTTCTTACTCTCTCTCTATTCTGTTCCAAAAAAAATCTGATTTTCCATTCAGACACACTAAATGTTGTATTCCAGTGCATAAGTACCTTCCTTTTAAAGGTCTGGAAATCTAGGTTTGCTTCTGACTTCTTTTATCGCACCATAGTATTTTGAGCAAGACAATTTGTTCACATTTTCATCTGATCCTTGAATTACTTATTCACAACAACACGACACCACACAATATCTAGGTTTAGATGGATTGTTCTTGCATTTCAGCACATTAACCATTACAGTCAAGGCAGGCTGTCCCTCTGAATTAATATTCAAACTAAATTTGCATTGTAGCTTCACAGGTAATTATTTTTAACTACTTACTTTTACCGATGAGAAGAACTGCCTTTGCCTAATAATTAAGATGTTATAACTGACCACATACCCGTGTTGTGGGGAATGTCTCCCAACAAAATTAAAGGTCCTTTCTGGGTAAAGGTGCTGACTCAGAAGTCAATGTATAATGAGGTATTGGCGGGGGTCATCAAGAAGACTTTGACTGCCAGTTAACCTGTGGGCAGGACTCGGACAACTGGAGATTCCTCTGCTGTCCTCGAAATGTGTGTTCCCCACACCAAGATACAGGCTTGAGCTGGAGATGTGGTGTTGAAGCTATGTGACCTGGTACTGAACTGGTGATGGCCTTCTGTATCCATAACTGAATCCAGGTAGGACCTCTACATAAACTTTTAAGACGTGGCAAGCGAGTGCAGAGATGTACTCATCTTGTGGCTTCCCAGGACAAGCCTAGAAGTTCCCTTGCTTATTAAACCTGCCACCTACCAATGTGGGATGGTAGGTCTCTTTCTTCTGTCTCTTCCTGCCTCTGGATGCTGGTTGCAGATTACACCCAAATAGCTGTCCAAGAGGCTGTGGACAAATATTAGGGAATGGTGCGTGCATGGAGATGAATGCAAGATGAGTGTTGAGTCACTTTCACTGAAATACAACCACCTGATATTTTTAAAAATATTTTAATTATTTATTTGATAGAGAGAGAGATCACAAGTAGGCAGAGAGGCAGGCAGAGAGAGAGGAAGAAGCAGGCTCCCTGCTGAGCAGAGAGCCCGATGCGGGGCTCTATCCCAGGACCCTGAGATCATGACCTGAGCTGAAGGCATAGGCTTAACCCACTGAGCCGCCCAGGCGCCCCAACCACCTGACATTTTTGAAAGCAAATGTTCTTCATAAATATTTGTCCTTGTACAGTTGCTTATAAAATGTCCCACTTTTCTCTAGTCTGTCTAAAATGTTAATATGTACATATATTTTTGTTTAAAAGTTTATTCTAGGTCTGCTTATTCTATTTCAATAAATTTGATATAGATAATTTATGCTTTACTAAATATCTTTGTTATTCAAGCTAAAATAGCACTTACAACCACGATATATTTTGCAGTTAAAGTTGCTCTAGGATTGGGGCACCTGGGTGGCTCAGGGGGTTGAGCCTCTGCCTTTGGCTCAGGTCATGATCCCAGGGTCCTGGGATCGAGTCCCACATCGGGCTCGGGCTCTCTGCTTGGCAGGGAGCCTGCTTCCTCCTCTCTCTCTGTCTGCCTCTCTGCCTACTTGTGATTTCTGTCTGTCAAATAAATAAATAATCTTTAAAAAAAAAAAAAAAGAAAGAAAAGAAAAGTTGCTCTAGGATTGAGCCTCCATAGTAAAATTCTTCATAATTCAGGTACCTAATGAATGCATCTCAGGACCAACTGGGAGGTTTGGGCAGAAATAACATTTTACCTCTTCTTAAAGGTGCAAAAAATAGAGAAAGTATTCTGATGATTTGGATTTTGTACCTTTTTATCTTAAGCAATGATTTCTGAGAAAACAAAAAGACCTGGTGCCATTTTAGCCAAAGCTTAAAAGAGTGTATGTATTAATACTGCTCTAGGTAAGAAATAACATAGCATGTAAGGAGACAATGACCTCGGGGGTCATACACTATGGACCCACTCATATTCAATCATCTTGGAAAGTTATTTTTCCAGGCAAAATCTCAGGGTTTGTTTTGTTTTGTTTTTCATCTACAAAATGTGTATAGCATCTCTACTCACTTTGTAGTACTGTTCTCAGATTGTCATAAAAGTAGTATTCCTAGCACAGTGCCTGCTGTCTATAAATGGAACGATTACTATTTTTCTCTGTAGCCAATATATTTTATGAGATAATTTCAAAGTTCAACATTTTATTCAGTACAAATTTATTATTTTGAAGAAAAATAATTAAGCAAAAATTTCATGTTAAATTATTATTTTATGCCTAATAATTTTCATACCCAGCCTGAACTCCTATTCATTCATGAGGGGATTTCTATTTATCCAATCATTTTGTGAAAACTCTAGGCTCAAATGTGGGCAACAGACCATCAGAGCTCTTTGGGAATACAATGCAAGCACTCCTAACATTATCTACTGCCAGTGGCTCTCAAATGTGGGTCTCTGGAATCCCAAACTCTCCCAAAAACAACACTTGTAGGTTGAAGTTAATTCCTGTTCTTGCAGATCCATGGGGAACACATACTGAACTTCTCAGCTGTTATCTTTCAGTGATCCTAAGAAGTGTCATAGGGAGGCAGGTATGCTAGAGTGTTCTTCAATTTTTGCTCTCCTGTTTGAAATAGTTAAACCTAGGAATGACTCACAGCCGAGCTAGAAGAAGATCACTATTAAGTCTACGCCACGGCTTTCACTATCCAATGGTAGTCGATTCTTACCCAACTGCCTATACTTAGTATGTTTTGGGCTTTCACAAAAACTGTATTTATATGGATGAATTATCTTTGGAAACAAAGAAATGAATATGGCAAAGTTCCTGGATATAACAATTTTAAAATATAGAATTAAATGACAAACAAAAAGGGGAGAGTCATATATGATAAGACATCTGGAAACGTGATGCTGCCAATTTACAGGCGGAACTTCAGGGACAAAACAGACATGGAGGAATGCCTGAGCCATGTCCCTCTGATATGGGGAATCCAGAAACACTGGGTCAAAACCCTGTGCCCCATCTAAGTAAAACTTACCATCTACTGTAAGCTAATTTAACTCAAAAACCATTATTTACTTCCAGAGTATATCCACTATCTACTTTTTTAGGTTATTCTAAAGTTAGTTTTACACTGTGAACCCAATATAAGCATGATGGCAAATGCTATGACGACATTGTTGTTGTTCAACACTCCAGAAAAAAACAAAATTTCTTTGACTGTTCTATGTACCGCTATTTTAGAGTGAACAATCTTACCACATTTGAGGGCTCTAGTTTCTTCCTTCTCGCGAGATCAGTTATGTTGATACCATTGTAATTAATGCTTTCCATGCAGCCTTTGAAGTTCTTTCTACCGCTGGAACTTGGCTTCCCAGAGAAAGGTATGCCTCCAAAGGTTATCTTTGAGAAAAGAAAAAAATGTAAATATTCACACTGTATTCAACTTAAAAAAATATTCACAATAAATTAGATGAAACTATTAATATAACCAAGGTCAGTTATACAACCAACGTCTGTATATCTCTCCCAGGATATACAGACAATTTTTTCTGCCTCCAAAATCTGTTGCATATTAATTGTGCTGTTATGGAAGTATACAACAGTATCATTAATTCTGTAAATCAGACTATTAACAAGAAAATAGCAATAATCTTTTGTAGCCACTCAAAAGCATTTCATAAATTTTCCTGAAATGTTTAAAAAGATTTTATTTAGCAGCCTTCTTTTATTGCATAATACTAAAAACACATTTTTATGAATATCAAAGACACACTACTCATAAGTGCTTCTAGTCATCATGAGGTAAACCAGTACTAATGTAATACAATGATAAACCCTATGTACTATGTAGACCTATTTTAATCTAAATGACCATTAAAGTCAAATAGTCACTAGACTAATTTTTAATATAGAAAATAGTTCAAAAAGTCTCATTATTACATTGTTTAAGAACATATTAGGAGATGGGGGCTTTATTTGAGCACTACAGGCTTAGAGATATCATGGGTCTTCTGAATCCTACAGAATAAGGTGCATGCCCTTTACTGTGATTCTCTGTCTACTATCACCTATAAACAGAGAGGATGTCTTTTTCCTTATATCTTTGGCCAAATTACAGTACCACAGTGTCAATTTCCTATAATACAAAATTATATTTAAAATACGTATTGCCATAATGACATTTATTGCTAATAGTGAAACAGTGGTAAATAAATCTAATGCTAACCAGAGCTGCAATACCAAGATATATAAACCAGATGTTATTTCTCTTTTAATTATTATTCAATGTTACCATTATCAACTTTTCCTATAAAGCTTTGAAAACGAAAGCAATAGTTAACACATTTTTGAATGTCAAGACTTCATATTTGAAACATAGGCACAGATCTTTGTGTTCTAGGAGGCCATTAGCAAATTATGTTCTTTTATTTAGTGTCATGGCATTTTAGATGTTTAGTTTTTGTGAAAAAAAGCACAAATTAATGATAGTTTATGAGATAATATAAAATAATAAAAGACCTCACTTAAAACAAAATTTGTTAATAATGTTAATAATAATAGATACATAGTTGAATATGTATTGTTTGCCATAGAGTTTATATATGAAAGAAGAGAAAACTGAAAATAAATATATAAAAAAGAATTAAGAAATGACAAAAGGAAAATTATACAGTAATCTAAAATAGTAGAATTATTAGGAAAATATTTTCAAGGGGCACTAAAATAAACTTATTAGGTACTAAATAAGTATACATAATACCAAAGGTAGGAATTATTGATAATTTATAATTATGTGGAATGCTTTATTTCCTGCCTACAGTTCATTTTACCAATTCTTTCCCAGTTGATGGTAATAAAAGTCTACGCTTAGCAACATGCAGCATCAAATTTTAAACATTACTACTAAACACCAGTTTAAACATACTGTCTCGTTCTTTCTCCATGTGCTGTCGGGATGATGATTAGAAACACTCCCATGTTCCCCTGCTTCCAGCCACCCTCAGCACAGGTCCTACATCCCTCTCAGAGGTGCCCTAGTGAAACAACACAGGCTCAGTTTGCCGGATTTCCTGACAACGAAAAGATGTGGGTTCAAATCCCAATTCCTAATGCAACTAATCCTATGAAAATAGGTTGCCGCTTCTTCTGATTATGTATTCTCATCAGTAAAATGAAGTATCTGGGCCACAAAATATTTCCTGAAGTTATAATTATTCAGGAAAAAAAAATTGTTGCAATTGTTAGATTACCTACCAGATACTCATATAACTCATACAACTGGCTTATTAATGATATTATCATTCAATAATAGCCCTGAGTTTAATGAAATAATCACGTTGACTATTTTGTTAGCTACCAAGAGTTTACAAAATATGGCAGAGATGGCTAGATACTTCTCAATGTCCTTTTTCCCTACCTTCTTTAGGAAAACAAGAATGCTTTTCAGCTATGCACACTGCAGCCAGTATACCACATTTGCCAACCTCTCTGAATCAAGTTTTGGTCTTGCAAGATTAAAGTAGTAAGACTGTGTGACTCCAAAAACTATAATTAAAAGGGGAAGGGAGCACAACCTTCTTTACTCGTCTTCCCACTGGAATGCAGGACGGAATGTGAACAGTCATCTAGGGAGTGATTTGCGATGGGACTGGAGTAGCAGCAAGGTAAAAGGAGAACGGAGTCTTAATGACCATGATGCTGCCATTTGAGCCGAGGGCTCCCCACCTACAATTACCTTTTATATGGTGGAGAATAAACAAGCATCTGTTACATGCGGTCTAATTAATCATAACTGATACATATGGTCATTTCTATTACTTCCTATCGCCTCCTCATATAATAATGCTCTGACAAATATGCTATTACATTCATTTTCCAAAAGGGGACTATAATGTGTCCACTGTCACACAACCAGTGAGGAGCAAAGAGGGACTCAAACCCAGGACTTCTGTTCCAGTTTGAGCCATGCAATTGATTCTCTACAGTCCTCCCTAGTTTCTTTCTAAAATCCTAGCCTAGTTTTACAACTATCAAGGGGCATTTCATTCCACTACCTCCCAAGCAGAAATGTATTGCAAAGGCAATGGCATAATATCCACAGGGTCTATCCTGGAATTTAGCCGAAGAAAAGTGAGAAGCCAGGCCAAGCATCAGTGTGCAGTTCTGCCCTTTGGCTGAGAAGAAGTATGTGTATCTGTTTACCTTTGTACCCTTCTCAGGGTACCATGCCGCTAGTAGCTTGCCTGCCCATGGCGTTTGGCACACTTTGCAGTATAATTGGGCTCTAGGAGGTGATAAGGTGAACTCTTTTTTTTTTTTTTTAAGATTTTATTTATTTATTTGACAGAGATCACAAGTAGGCAGAGAAGCAGGCAGAGAGAGAGGAGGAAGCAGGCTCCCCGTGGAGCAGAGAACCCGATGCGGGGCTCGATCCCAGGACCCTGGGATCATGACCTGAGCCGAAGGCAGAGGCTTTAACCCACTGAGCCACCCAGGCGCCCCGATAAGGTGAACTCTTAAGCCACCTTCCACAAAAGATGCCCACCCTGAGTTAATTCAAAGGAGCAAACTTGTTTTTTACTGCTTCTTTCATGATGTACATCTCTAGGAATAGTGCTGGGTATTAACTTACCCCTATGGTGTGCTGAATCCTGCTCATACCAGCTCATGAAAACAGACAGTTCAACAGAGCCATTGTTAAAGACAAATTACATAGTTTCAGATTACATTACACAAGTAGTAGCTACTAGGAACTCATCTCTATATTTTCATTAGTATGTACAATCTTGAGATTACTTATATGTCTACATATGACGGGAACACCCTATCACAGTGTGGTATAATATATTTGGTCTTTGTTCCCAGTTCCTGGTACAGAGCCCCTAAAACCCTTGGAATGTCCTGGGCTATAGGAATGTTTTCAGTTATTCATAACAAGCCTCCTTTGAGGTCTGAGTCTAGTTACTACATGGACGAGTGAGAGAGGTGTGTGTGAAAACGCTGAGGGACTGACTCAACTTAATGGACTCAGGATTCTTTATTAGTAAATCTGACTTTCTTCCCAGGGTCTCCCTCTAACAACGTCTCAGGTGCTGTCATCTACAGCTCAGGTTCTCAAAGGTGGTATGTATATTCATGGCCTTCAAAGTGTCCATGAAACTGCTGACCCTGAGTGTGTGCATGAATATTCATGAATTCCATCACAAACTCAATACAGTCTATGACCCCAAATTTTTAATTCTGTTTTTTGAAAATTGGAATTGTTTGCCCATTGCTAATGTTCCAGGATCTCTCATCTGTCCTATGGTACTTCAAAGTTTATTAATGGAAGGTGAATAATTCATCTTTAAGTTCTCTCATACAGGGAGATAAGCCACCTAAGCCAAGAAAGGTACTAATTTAGGAAAAAAATAAAACTTCTGGGATTTTCATATTCTTTCCCTTGCAACAATCATTATGCTTTAAGGAGATTTTTTGGGAGGTAAAGTTATTTTCTGATAAGCTTAAATTTATTTTAATGTTAAGATCTCAATATCAGGGTTTATATAGCATAATCTATTTTAAATTCCTATTTAGGAATATATATAATATATTCACCTCACAGAAAATTTAGAAATTATTTAAGTATATAAAGAAAATAAACACAGTTGTAAATCCTAACTTTTTCAATTATCTTATCATGAGCCTATTTCACATTTTTAAAAATTCATGTAAGATATTGATTAACACATATACGTGTGTATGTATACAAACAATTTCAAAAGTGGGGACAAGGCACACTGAGTTTGCACAGGAAATTCATGGGGTCACAGCCACCATACACTTTCTATTTTTAAAGGATATGCAAAATATTTGACACGTTCTGGGCATTATGGGAAACACTAGCTTGAGCTAGTTCACCATTCCAACAACCTGCTACACTGCTTTTAATAATTTCCTGTCCTAGTGAAGGTGGGTTTTTTTAATAATTTCTTTCATAAAAACATGTCACATAAAAGTAAAAGTAGAACAGAAGATGGAGATGGCAGTCAAATCTGATTCCAAAGTCTGAGGAGTTGTACCATCAGGGACATTCAACCCATCAGCAAGTAATCACTGTTATTTTAAGAACTAAATAAAATATATTTTTCATTTATTTTATCTGTATTTTTTAATAGCTACCAAGTCGTTAAGACATAAATATTTATTAAGTTGTCTGGCTCTAACTATTACAGAATGGTCTAGGACAGCTGTGGAAAAATTAGTAACACCCTGAGGGTTCCATGAAGGAAGAAAGTTTAGAAACCCCTTGCTAACTAGTATTTCATCCTATTTATTTTCCTGCTATGCTCTTTTTGTTCATTTAGTATTATCCTTTTTCTCTTGGAATATATAACACTGTGATGAACATCTTACAGAACTCTTATCTCTATATTTGATTAACATTTTTGGTGGGTATTTTAAGGTTGAACTGCTCTCTAAATAATTTATTAAAAAACCTGAAATGGGGACGCCTGGATGGCTCAGTTGGTTAAGCGGCTGCCTTCGGCTCAGGTCATGATCCCGGCGTCCTGGCATTGAGTCCCGCATCGGGCTCCTTGCTCCGCAGGGAGTCTGCTTCTCCCTCTGTCTCTGCCTGCCACTCTTAAGTCTGCCTGTGCTCACTCTCTCTGACAAATCAATAAAATCTTAAAAAAAAAAAAACAAAAAATCTGAAATGCCTATCTGTTTAATACAGGAATATACAGTTTTTAGGGGACCAATATGATTATTTTTTGACCTTTGATAATTTGGAGGATAAAATATGTCCTTTTATTTATGGACAACCTCTTAAAATATTCTATATTTTACTTTATTTCTTCTATGATAATTATATCCGAGAAAACAGAACCCAACAAAAGAACTATCTATAGTCATGAGGTCATAAATGATAATATAAATCAGAACTCAGGATTTCTTAGTCAATATTTTGTAACAAATATTAGGCAATGCTGTATTTATAATATACTATCTATTCTCAAGAATAATAGATGATTTATGCCATAATTAACTACCAATGGAAAGATTACAACTTATATTTGTTCTGGACTTAATAAACTGCCCTGCTGACATGATAAATGGTCTGCTCCCTTTGAATTATTACTTTGGTACCAAGATTTTTAAAATATTTCAAATACTCATAATTACAAACTTAGAAATGAATAAAATGACAGTGTTAATAGATTAGACCCTCAAGTTGAAAGATAATTTTTCTTTGGAGAATAAAACAAATGGGGCAGGCAGGCATGTGACTGACAAGAACACGAAGACCCAGTAGGAGACGGAGGCAGCCACTCAAGATGGAGGACAACGACGCGTCCCCCAGCTCACCTCGTAGTCCAGGTCCAGGTAGTCGAACTCTCCGTTGGTGCGGAAGTGCTGCACGCCCCTGTCCAGGGTGAGGTTAATGCTCCGGCCCTGGCGCTCAATGACCACGGAGTGCCAGTGGTGATCATCCAGCAGACTTCCAGTCGTCACGGACGTGTGGCCGTAGATGGGGCCGAGCTGATTGCTTCCTGAGCCATGGAAGGAACAGAAACGAGGCAGTGACACCACGGCGACCCTGCGCACGGCCAGCTTCCATCACAGCCATGGGCTGGCACTCCACTCAAGTCCTGTCCACTGACGCTAGCGTGGGGGAACCGGCATGTAACTATGCTTAACAATAGTTTCATATTCAAAATACATAAAAGCTGCTAAAGATGGAAAACATCTCCTTTAAAAAAAAAAGAAAAAAAGAGTATGAGGTTTTGTTTTGTTTTTACTGTGCCATGAATTCTGCTAAGTTTGACAGGGTCCTTACAAAGTCAGTGTCCCATGGTTCTGGAGCCCAGTGCCTGGACTCTCAGGCTGACTCAGGACTGCCTTGCCCTATGGTCACAGGTGAGCAGGCAGCTTCTGTGAGCTTACGCTGCCTCATACAGGAAATGGAGAAAATCAGGGACCAGCTTTACAGGGTTGCTATGATGATTAAATAATTAGTACATGCAAAGAACTTAACCAACTTCTTGGCATACAGCGAACATTAGCTAAAAGTTACCTGTTAACAGGCTTTTATTGTTGCTATTATTTTTATTTTTGGTCAAGAAAACACAGCATGACACTTTCCAGTTTTCACTGACTCCAAAAGCAATCATTTTAACCACGATGTAATATTTAACGGCATAGAAAATTAACTCAAGTTATATTTTAAAATAAAAACTTGCAAAAATATGTATGAAGCATTAATCTAGCTTTGGAAATAGATTTCCATGGCAACAAGACTATAAATGAGAGTGAAAGTTTGTGAGAATCCAAAATGTTTACTAAGGTCATCTCTGGAAACTGTTTACATGTTTTATACTATCTTCTATTTTGTCTAATCAAGTATTGCTTTTCATGGTCAAGTAAATTTAAGTGCTATAAAAATACAACACGGTTTCAGAATAAATAGTATCACAGAAACAGGAGAAACACACAATTGATTAAGGCACTGAATTATTTCCTCTTTTATTTTTTTTTTCCCACATTTAAGATACTAATGCTGCCTATACCTGACATTTTCTATGTCTTTTCTCGATCAGATTTTCTTTCCTTTTGATGGTGAAACCAAATGTGCCTGTGACTGGGACTGTGATTATGACTGTCTGTTTACATGTGGCAGTGGGGCAGAGAGGGAGAGAGAAAAGTAGGAATAAGTCTAAATGAAAGTATACACTCTATTTTACTACTTTAAATTACTTTAAATGACTAGAACACAAAGTAGCAGCTAGATATGCCTGATATTGAGGTAATGGCATTTTAAAAAGCACAATGGACATATGAGTGAGTGCATTTCCATGACTGTCATAAATTCCAATCAGTCAATAAAACTCTGTAAGTCAACTGCTTTCCAGTGAAACAGTAATGACTTTTCTCTGAGATCAAAGGCTCAGACACAAGTTTCAGAACAGTAATGTCATACCTATAGAAAGCACGGTGGCTTTTAAAATGTTCCTCTGTGTGTTTCACTTTTTTAAAAAAAAGGAAAAAGGTTTGAGAGGAAGTAAACATCCTTAGATATAATTCAATTGCTCCCAGTGTGTATGCATATTTTTTGTATGCATGTTTTTAAAAAGTACTTACATTTTGTTTTCTGATCTCTACCCCCAAGCCTCCTATTTCTCCTTATCTATTAAGAATCCTTCAAAAATGATTTAGGGCTATTTTTTCCCCAGGCAATACATGAATACCTATACTAATTATAATAGAGAATTTTATGAAGAATTAATAGGTACAACATTAATCACTCATTTCCACCAGTAAACATAGTTTGGTCTATTTCTTTCCAATTTTTTTTCCCTATAAATATATTTAATTATATACATATATAGTTATGTGTGTATATATAATCAATATAAAATATTGAGGTGTTATTTATAATATTTTATACTACAGTTTTAATTTAATGTTTTATGGTATTTTCTATAGAATTAAAATTTTTCACAGACATTTTAAATGCATTATCAACATATTTCTATATGCTTAGCTTTTTTTTTTTTTAATTTTTGACATTGTGATCAATATTGCCAAGTATATCCTTGGACTTAAACCCTATAGCCATTTCTCATTATTTCCTTATGATTATTGGGCCAAAATATACAGGCAATTTTTAGATATCTGAAGACACTGTCAAATTGTTTTCCTAAAAATATTTTCTGATGCAAAGAGCAATACAAAGAATCTTGTCACATACTCAATATTTATATGATTTTTTAAATTGATTTACTTAACAAAAATTAGTTATTATTTTATTGTCCATTAATTTCATAGATAGTGCAGTTGAGCATCTGTTGTTCATAGAATACTAACAATTTTTCTTCTATGCATTACCTTTTATGTCCTATGTCTTAGGGAGTGGTATAAATTTTTACTCATGAACGACATTAAACTTCCGTATTTAACATTTGCGTTTTTCAAGTTTCACACTCATTATGATTTTAATGTAAAGAATCCAATATTTTTGTGTAATTAAGTGATCCAGCTTTCTCTGTGATTTTCTTCTTCATTTTTTCTTATAGAAGCTATTATTTCTATCAGATTTGAAATGAGTACAGTTTTATAATAAAGGGTAAATATTTACAGATAATGTATCAAGTATTACCAACAAAAAAAAAACCCTAATGAAAACTGCACTTTTTAGTATAATACTAATTCTCAAAGTAATAAAATTTAATACATAGAACACAAGCCATATTCGGGAATGTCTGGACCACTCAGACTGATTAGCAAGTCAAAAAGGCAGGATCTGTTTTTGTATTCTTTTTTTTTTTTCTTTTAAGATTTTACTTATTTGTTTGACAGAGAAAGACAGTGAGAGAGGGAACACAAACAGGAGGAGTGGGAGAGGGAGACGCAGGTTTCCTGCAGAGGGGCTGGATGCAGGGCTTGATACCAGGACCCTGGGATCATGACCTGAGCCAAAGGCAGAAGCCACCTAGACACCCCTGTTTTTGTATTCTTACTCTCAGTTTTGTGGCTTTCTACTGGGATGAATTTAACATGTGAACTTTAGCTATTAATATATTTTAGATACAGTGTTTTTGTAGAATTCTGTTATTATTTACAACAAAAAAAAATATGGAAGGTGTGATGCCCTCCAAAAACTTCTTGCATAAATCCTGACATTTTTAGCCAAGCAAGAGACTTAATAACACTTAAAAACAAAACAAAACAAAAAATTACAAAACAAAATGGGAAGTCATTCAAGTTCAACTCATTCTCCAGCCAATACTTTATTTCTCTGATTCCTGATTCTCTGATTTCTAGTTAGATTTTGTTTGAAAATTCAGTTTTACATTTCTCATCTTTTCTTAACCTATGTCAATAAAACCACTGTCCTTTCTATTCCACTAAGAGAAAAATCAACAGGAACCTCTACAGGGCCTAAGCCAATATTCACCTGCCTGTCTCCATCTTAGGTGAATTCAACACAACAGCCACCTCTTTTCTTTCCCTGCTCTCTGATACCACATGCTCTAATTTCCTCCTGCTCATTCCCCTCAGTCTCCCGGTAACATCTCCTCTCAATCTCATTCATACACGCAACTCCCTAATAGAGATCTCAACACTGATGTCTAATAAGCAACTAAAATGCACCATGTCCATGTTAGACCTCCTCTATTAGAGGAAACTAATCATCTTTTATTAGAAGATGCTCTGTAGAGAAAATACAGAGTCACCTCTACTTCTGAAAATGGCAGTCAAGTCCCTTAGGTATCCAGGAATTATCCTTTACTTATTCTCTTTCTTTCTCATTACAAATCCTGCTGAACTTACCACTAAAATCATCTCCCAACTAGACCTGCTTCCCTGCATCTCCACTGACAACCACCTCTGCAAACCAGGGCCATCTCTCACTTGCCTCATACTGAAGTCTGGCTTTGAGTCTCACACAAATGCAAGCATTTTCTTTTCTAGGAATCTCAATACACTTTTAAAAATAAGATCGTGATGCCATATAGTTTAAAGCCCACCAACAGCTTCTCTTTCTTAAATAATAATAAACCCTTTACCATGCAGTACAGGATCTTACAGGACTTGAACAATCCCCGATTTACAGATCTTATCTTCTTTCCCATTGACTCACTTCATCTACCCACAGCAGCCTCCTTCCTAATTCCCTGAGTATGCCAGATCTTTGTCTGTAGTGACTGCTCCCTTGCTCTTCTCAATATTCTCATGGCCAGTTCTAGTCATAACTGAGATCTCAGCTTGTGTGTCTTCTCGGGGAGAATGTTCCTCAATGCATATTCTAATGTGGACCTTTCTTGTCTCTGCAGTATCCTTTATCATTTTAGCTTATTTAGTTGATTTCAAACTACCCATCCTTATTTGAAGTCATTGCTTTTAAGTTGTTTTAAAATAATAATGGATAATATAATGTCTGAATCCTCCACTAGATCATAAACTTCATGAACTCAAGGACCTTCTCTATTTGTTCACCACTGTCTCAGATATTAGTATAGTACCTTGCTTAGGATGAACACATAACAATTATTTTTTAATGAATAAGTATATATGGATCAAAAGGCATTAAACCACTATGGATTAAAGATGAATTTATAAGATAACAAGAACTGCTTTTTTATAATTTACACTTTAAGGATTAAGCAACATTAGCATTTTACTAATGGGAAGATTAATAAATGGTGCCAAAAGTCAGAACATACCTAGGTTTAAGTTGAAGACCAGCTTGGCTTTTTTCAGTTCCAGGGTAATGTAATCCCCTTGCTGTCCTTCCCCATGCAAGATCACCCCTTCACTTTCAGAGGTTTTAAATTTCAAAGCAATGACATCCTTCAGGGTCTTCATCTTCTTGTTTCTGAATCTATATGGCAACACAACGTGGCCATCAAAGTTGATAACATCGGCCCCTAAAAGAAGAAGCGAATAACATTTTATTTTAGTTCTTGTATGTCAGCACTCAGTGTGAAATATACCCATTTCCAATGGGTGTCTGCACAGAATAAATGATAAAGAAGTAGTTTTTCCCAAAAAATCTGGAGTCCTGTGCTCTTGTTCTGGTTCTTCTTTTGATTTAATTGTATGTTCTGAAATAAATTTTATGGAAATAGTAATAAAAATGATCAAAGAAAACTTCATTAGTATCAAATCTTACTTTAATTATAATACTAACAATATAAATTCCATTAACTACTTATATGCTTCAAATTTTAACTTGGCAGTCTAGAGTTTACTTGAAAGAAGTAAAACTTTTAATCCTTGACAATCGACAAGATTTTAATATTTTCCTTCTTAAGTGGGGCTAATTACTCATGATTTCTAAATATACATTTTGCTCACAATTTTATTTTTTTTTCTTTTACAAAAAAACAAAGGATCCTGGAATGCCAGGTTTGATGGTATACTCACTTTTCTAATGGTTTTAATATTCTACTCCAATTTCAATAAACACTATGGTAGTACATTACGGCTAAGTGAACTACAAGAACCTTCTTGCTATTTGCTCTTGGACCTCGTATCTGACTCAAATTTCTTATTAGCCTCTTGTCTTTGGAAAGGCTGCCCATGGTTTTGACTACACTGAACAAAGACATCCTCACCCATATACATTATTAGAACAAATACACTATGACTAGAGTAACTCTAATTTGATTTTAGATAATTTTATTGAAGACATGAAATTATATAAACTTTTTAAAAATATTAACAATTTTGTCACCACTCTCAGAAACAGGTGATGGTGGGGAGGGGGTTGCTGGATTAGTTTCATAACTGCTACTTATTCACACCAGAAATGGAAAATGACACGAATCTTACTTATTATGCACTACTGTTTAGTAAGTTCCAAATCCATGGAATGGCTCAAAAATGAACTGTAATTATTCAGAGCTGAATGGAAACCTAGTTATCATAATTAGACCTTTGTCATTAAAAATATTTTTAAATATCTGTTTCTTTTAGCTTTTAATTTTAAATAATTGAAAATCTCGTCAAACTGGATAGCTCTAATTACTTTAGAATTACAAGCCTGAATGAAGCTTGCCTCTCTCCGTTTGGAGCAAGGTCTTGCTGAAGAATTTCACAGTGACACTGGAAAAAAATTACAGCAAGTTTAAAGCCTACTGGAGAAATATTTTCTCGTCTCAGGTCCTACCTAGTTCTCTGGATGCTGTTTACTTCCATTGCCATAGGGAATACTATGGTCCCCAGCCCCCAGGTCATAAGGGCATGCCACCTACAGGAGCCTCATGGACATGCAGAGCTCCCACGGCTGTATCCACTCTTTCTGTGTACTACCTGCCATTACAAGTTCTGCTCTTAGTTAATGTTTGTTTAATTTGAGAAGTGCTGCATTTGAAATTGTTCAGAAAGAGAAATATAACTTTGCATTTTAAGTTTTCATTCTTATAGTCAGTTCTTTACTGTCCATAAAAAGACCTTCTTAATCAACAAAATTCTGTTCTCTAAGACTGTAAATCACAGCGGTTTATTTTACTATGGGGGGGATCAACCATTAAATTTAGGCTTCTGCTAACACTGCAAAGCCAATTAGACTCTAGCTTAATCATCTACACTGTCACAGCTGAATTCCAAATGCAGTATTTTTATCATCTGTGATGAGAGGTAAGAGAGAAAAAAAGTGGAATCTGATTATAACATCCCAGGTTGAATTTATAATCTAGCAGTTGGTAGAAATTACTTTTTGTCTTGAAAAGTGCATAAACGAAAAGTCAGGAGGAAGGAGTAAATTCTGAACTCCAGAAAGTGATTTTGCAGTCAATTTCATGTCAGTGACAGTTGAATAATAGACACATCATTGTTTTATACACCTTCAATATATATTAATTGACATAAAATATTCCCCATTCATCTCTCAGGAAGTAAACGTTCCCTGAGCTTGGGCAGAGGAAAGAATCCACCCCTCCCGTATCTTCTCCTAAATCAAAATCTACAATCTGTTCCAGGTACAGAGTAGTACAAATGTTGGTGTCTCTCTCCCTCACTTATAGGGCAATGGAAAAAGTAAGAGACAGGATGGGTATGGTTTATTTCGTCAGAGAGTCCTAGAATATTAGCAAAAACATAAAGGAATGCTATTAGTGCAGACTAAACTCATCTTACAAATGTTAAGTGGTCAGTGGTCAAGTTGAGAAATTGATAAAACGTTCTGCAAGCCAGATCTCTTATATTATGAAATCAAAGCTGCTCTTCTATGGCTGGATTAAAGCTTGCATAATACCACCATGCAGATGTGACCTCACAGTTGCCTTTGACATCACAAAATTCCTAGAAATAATCTGTGATATAAAATTCATATAGAAATACATACCATAAACTTTAAACAGAGTCTGGGATATTGTTAAATCTATCAGAATTTAATTCTATTTCCTACAAGAATATATTTAAATTTCATTTGACATCTAATAATATGTTGTGCTTATTTTGGGATAAGCCACCTTTTTTCCCCCTATTACCCTGATTGCTTATTACTCCCTAGAATTAAGTTTTCTATGCAGTGATTAAATATGTGTGGTTGAACTGTTTAAGCAATCTTAGCAACAACAATGGCTAGTCAAAGTGTGAATGTAAAATCACAGTGCTTCCACAATTTTGTTTCTAACAATAACTCAGAGAGTTGGTAATGTGCCCAGTTCATTAAAACATCAAAGGAGAGAAGGCTTTTTGCTTTTCTTTTTAATTTCAATGTTAGTCTTTATTTTCTGATTTTACAGAAGAAATTTTGGAGAGGAGGGTTTACCATCTAAAGATTTTAATATTTAAAACAATACCTTTGCTATATTTTTACTATAAATTTAATATATATTTACTATTGAAAGGAAATTAAATAACACTGAAACAGAGAATGTATAAAGTGAACCCCAAACCCAGGAGATCACCAATATGATCAATATGGAGGGAAGTTGGTGCACAGCTTTCTAGATGTTAACACATTTGTTTATTTATCCACCTGTCTCCCTATTTAATGTAAGGTATTACCCATACATTACTATGTAAAGATATATGCATAGATGTGTGTGTACATGTGTATGTGGGGGTGTGTGGGGGTGTCTATGGGGGCAGTAGAGACACAGAAACAAGAATGGCATTTCCTTGGTTATGGTTCAAAATGTTCACTGATAAGAAGCTTGAGTTTTGGGTAATATAATATTTATAAATATTAGTTGGGAAATTATATATTTTAGCTAATTAATATGTTTTACTGACCTTCATGCACCAAGGCACTTATATAAAGTAAGAATATATATAATCTGAAATGGTAATTTATCCTACTTACTTGAAAAAATGAAAAATGTAGGGGCGCCTGGGTGGCTCAGTCGGTTAAGCATCTGACTCTTGGTTTTGGCTTGGGTCATGATCTCAGGGTCCTGAGATTTAGCCCCGCCTGGGGCTCCATGCTTGGCCTGAACTGGCTTGAGATTCTCTCCCCCTTTCTCTCTCCCTCCCACTCTGCTCTGGAAGTAAAGTTTAAAAATACCATGAAAAGTGGAATTGTCTTAGTTTTGCAAATGTTGCATAAATGCAAATCTATTTTTTTCTAAGTCAGAGGCCAATATTTTGAACATATTGACCATTCTTTACAAAACAGCACGCCTGCCATCTTTACTCTCTTTCCATTCACTTCTATTCTTGACAGCATTTTCCCTACCTAATACATTCATGTGCTTATACATTTACAGCATGATATATGCTCTCCTCCTTTGAAAATGTATGCATCAGAGACTTTCTGTTCCTCCACCCAGATGCCCAGTACCTAGTGCCTCAGAAACAGCTGATACTCACTCAGTATGTGTTGTTAGATCATTATATGTCGTCATTCCTATTTCAATAAATTGGATTACAGTATTATAGGCACTATTGTTTTATACTTCTTCATTAGAAATAAGAATCACTACGGGACGCCTGGGTGGCTCAGTTGGTTAAGCAGCTGCCTTCGGCTCAGGTCATGATTCCAGCGTCCTGGGATCAAGTCCCGCATCGGGCTCCTTGCTTGGCGGGGAGCCTGCTTCTCCCTCTGCCTCTGCCTGCCATTCTGTCTGCCTGTGCTCGCTCTCTCTCCCTCTCTCTCTCTGACAAATAAATAAAATCTTTAAAAAAAAAAAAAAAAAAAAAAGAAATAAGAATCACTAGATTGCAAGAAATTTCAGGAATCATTCTGATCCTTCTTGGTGCTATAATTAATTATATATCCAAGGTTTCAACTGTCAGAGAAAAAGAATGGCAATATTAGGCTACTTTTTGTGGTTGGGGGGTGGAATTCACTCCATTATTATTATTAATTGACTCAGTATTATTCAACCAACAGACATTAACTCTGGAGGAACATGATGTATCTCATCTCATCTGCGTACTGCTTTGATCTGATTAATTTCTTTCTTCTAACTCACTGCCTTTTCTTTCAATGTATCTGTGGTTTAAACCTAAATAAATAGTTAAAATAGATCCCAGAATGTCAATAACAGCTAATTTAGAGTAATAGCAGTAAATGAGCCTTGTCCAAATCCCTCAAAGAATTATCTAGATATACACTGTGAAAAGTCACTTCTATTCTGGGAAAATATAAAACAAAAATAAAGATCTTCAAGGCTCCTTCATGAAGGGCAGCATCTCACAGTCTGTGCATTATTTCTCCTTAAAATGTGCTGCTTCGCCCTTAGATACTTGGGTATTCCACTCATGGTAGAATGACAAAACATCATCATGGAATCTGGTGTTGTTTTTCCATAAAACTGGATTCCAATATCTAACTTCCTAGAAGATCCACATGGAGCATCCACAGGAAAATCTAACTCTTTGTGTCCAACACGTAATTCCTTCTCTGAGCCCATGCCCCTGCTCTTGTATCAACTATCCACTCAGGACAGATATCTGAGGCTTTCTGAAGCATCTC